AAGGGCTTAGGGACAAGATGCGAGTTTCAAGATCAAAATAAAGAAAATTAGATTTATTAATACAATTCAAAGTTTATTCGTTAAATCACAAACAAATTATCATCAAATGCAAGCAACCATGTTTTCTTGAAACTATCACCTTTTGTCTACTGGGACTCGCCACTCCGAAGGTTCGTTACAATTCTCCTCTTTTTCACTCTTACTCCACAAATCATCGTCCTCTGGTCTGTTGAGTGAATTCAAAATGCGGTATTTCCTCAATTACTGCTATCAGCTTTTGAAGATTGCTTTTCCACACACCTGATACCCATTTAGCAAAACCCAAAGATTATAATACACGTAACAGAAAAAAAGTTTATTTTTAATGATTCAGAATGTACAAATATTTATCAGAAATACCAATTTAACAAATATGATAATACAGTAGAGCGTCGTTTATCCGAAAGTCGGTTATCCGAAAGAATTCCAGTTGGCAAATTTAAATATTCGCTAGTGCTGTGGCGCTGCAATCTTTGGCTATGTCTTGGGCTACTCAAATATTTTACGTTTTTGATACTAAATTAACATCTGAAGTATAATTTTTTATTGTTTTTATATTTTTCAATATATTTATTTTGTTTGTACAAAATAAAAAAATAATTTTTAACGATACAATAGTCTTCGTTAGGCTTAACATCGACGAAAATTCAATGCGAAGCGACACGCAATGGAGAAAAATGTCAAGATGGGATAAATTAATATATTTTTTCATACATAATCTGTTATCCGAAACATCGATCTTCCGAACAACTCCAGTCCCCAATTGATTCGGATAATCGACGCTCTACTGTACTAGTTTTGAGAAAATCCCATGCAAAGATTTAACCAAAGTTTAACTGAATATCACTTATCTCCCAATAACTGCTTCCTAGTGGCTGAATAGTTACTTTTGTGACACTCTTCTACATAAAAATTTACTACATTTTTGTTTTGATTATGACAAACAAAAAATCTCACTTTTTTGAGTTATGCCAGTTTTCTGCCAAAGTAGCAAGTTGCATTCAGTAACTTAAGAAATGTAAATTAAATACAAAAAGTAAATTTGATTATTATAAAAGTAATTGTCAATTTATGAAGGTTTGTTGATTTTGTATAATTGGCATTGATAATTGATAAGGAGCAAAAGAAGATCAAATAGAATGACAAAATCAAAACAGTTCAAATTTCAAATTGACATTTCAGCATGTGAAACTTTTGAAAAAATACATGATTGAGTGCAAAAAATTGCACTCAATCATGTATTTTTCAATATATATAAGCTAATCATAAAAAATAATTGCAACACTTTTACTAATGAATATGAAAATAGTTTCTTCAACCTAATTCAATTCATTTTGTATAGTGCAAAGTTTTGTACAATTTAGTAAAGTTCAATACTTAGTTGAGATGCCTCTTCACTAAATCACTTCAATACATTTAGGCACTGAATCAACTAGTTGCTGAATTTGTTCTGGAGAATTTAATTCCATTAGCAACAGCTTTTCAACATTTTGTGGAAGAATTTTGTTGAATTTTGTTTATTGACTTTGTTCTTTATATACAAGTTTTTGATTGGATTAAGATCTGGACTACACATAGACTGAGACAAGAGGTCAATCTTTTCTTTTTCCAAAACCAAGCTGTGGTTATTCTCATTGTATGAGGCTTTGTATTTTCTTGTTGGAAAGTGAATTTCTTCCTCTGGAACAATTTGGTTATACATTGGAAAAAATTCTTTTCCAATATTTTGATGTTGTCTTTTGTGGCAATGGATTTGATGTAGCAATGTAGTTAACCAAGTCTCTTTGCAGAAAATCAACCCCACAAACTGTAACAATCCATTTGTTGTATCTAGATGAGAAGTTTGGGAGGTCGGCTTCATACCACATCCATATCACTTTCCTTCCATCTGTATCATATACTAGGTAAAAAGCAGGATTTATCCAACACAGTATGTATTTCACAAACCAGTTCCATGTAATTCTAGCCCATGCCAATCTTTACTAAGTAGTAAAGATTGACCTTTGGCTTAACATAAAAGGTTGGTGTAAAATCTTTTGGTGTAAGATTCAAATACATATCATTTGCTGGAAGATTATTTATATGGTATGCAGTTTTAATTTTGAATTTTTCCTTTGGTGTACAGTAGAGCATCGATTATCCAAAACAATTCAGGACTGAGGTTGTTCAGATAACTGATCATTTACAAAAAAATATATCAAACACAAAACTGTACTGTATGTATTTTGTATCACATGTC